ACTAAATAACATGTTAGAAAAAAATCTCATTAAAGACTGGCTCCAACATAACAGCTTCCTAAGAGTCCTGTTGATGGTGTAGTTGGGTACCTGTAAGCTTGATACCCATCAGAATGGTATTTCTTATGCAAATGTTCAAACTATTTTAAAACTTAGCATTTGTGAAGTGTTGCAAGAAGAACTCAACATTTAATTCCATTGTTGATGGTAGGGTGCTGGTTCTGTAGTTTTAACTTGGAGAAAAGGTAGACTTTTAGCCCTGTTTTTTATTTAAAAGGCTGACTTGGGATTACTTTTCCCCATCAGAGTTTCTGTGAACAAAGCATGTAACCTTCGCCTCGCTTCTTCCTTTTTCACAACTCTTTTGGGGGGCTTTAATGAGGCCTACTACTCTAGAAACTTTCACATAGAGTCTACAGCATAAAAATAACACCAGTGTGGACACTTAGCCACGCCTTTTAGCTGGGATTTCTTCCTTTTCCACCCCTGCTTGCCTGGGCAGTTTACAAGGAAATCAAGAGATTCTTCCTCCTAGGCTTGCACTAACCTGTGTTCTGATACTTGAGTGCACGCTTTGATTTGTCGGTCTCACTTGAGTTCCTTACAAGTAGATACATTTGGTTATGCAGATCAGCAGTACTCCAAGCCTCGGCCTGCTCATACTTGTTTGCCTACTCATTGACTATCAGCAAAACCTCCTTATGTGTAAATAGACTGCAACTAAGTTGCCCTATGTACTTCAAAAACACAACAGTTCTTTGTTCTTGGAACTGCTCAGCGGTTAGTGGCATCCAGTTGTGTTAAACACAAGATTTCAGTGCTAAGAATAGTATCTGATTTGAATATTAGGCGCCTTCGATGGCGGAGGAGAGTTTCTTGACTAGTTGTTAATAATGTGCTCCCTTCCGACTTCCATGCTGGTTTTTCTTGGACCAGGTTTAAGCTGAAGAGTTCTTCATCCAGCAGCTGACATCTGCTTAGGAAGTGTGGCAGTAATTAGTAGGGGATAGGTTGGAATAAAGCAGTTGATGTTGACTTGTTGGAATTAAGATTGCGGGTAGAGAGGAGATGCTTATTCTTGGGAACTCCCCAAGCAGGAGAGAGGGGAGAGAGGTAAGGTGGAGGCAGATGAGTTGCCATCTCTATTCTAATTATTCAGAGATGATTCAAAGGGCCTTGTAACTGCTTCTATTTTTTTTTTTTAATATCCTGTCTCCCATGAGAAATGGCAATCAAACCCTCTTCTTGTGAGACTGGGAAAGCTTGGGTCTTGAACGTATTAATGTCAGTAGAAGCCTTGTGTGCGCTTTGTGGCTCTAAGCATGATATTGTTCTAGTTCACTATGGAAAAAACTGTTCTGTCATTGTGGTATCACGAGTAGAAGAATCAAATTTTTGTCCAAAGCAACATGCTACGAAAGGGGAGGTGTCCAAAAACGTCGTGCATGTGTATGTTTAGCGGTTTATAATGGATTTGCCTCTGTTCCCGCAGTGTGGTACAGCTGGGTAACACGGGCCATCTGACTTGTATCCCAGTGAGTCCTATAAAACAGAACACATGACTCAAATTAATAAAAAACTTTGCATTTGTCACAGTCCTTCAGGATTAAATAAGCAAAACATAAAACTTCCAAAACAAACGTAAGCTTTTTAAGATCGAGAATCCTCTTTATGTTATCTTAGATCTTAAAGGCACATATTGACCATCTGGTTAAAATCAGTCTTGTGTGCAGTTTGGATCACTTTTATACAGTGTTCTCCACCTTCTGAATTCAGAGCGGGACTTGTTTAATTTCAGCATCTTTGGCACAATTGTCATAGATCCTAAAGCTGCCCTTCCATGTGCCTGCTAGCTTGTTATTCCCTTTATCACTACTAGTCCTTGTGCTTTTCCCCAGCACAGGCTCTTATCACTGCTGACATGTCAGATGTCTTAAGCGACGCAAGAATAGCCTTGAATACAGTGGAAACACGAGGTGCAGAAACAACTCCAAATTGGGGTTAACCTGCTATAAGTTACTAAATGTTGTGGTTTTTTCCTGCATCAAGTTAATGTTCTCTAAACTAAGATCATCTTTGTGAGTCACTGTTAAAATTATTACTGCTCCATGCCAGCTGAGCAGTGTGCTCTTTATATACAGGAATAGAATATCTACTGTAAACTCAGGGTGTATTAGGGCTGCGTTTTAAGAAGTCTACACGCTACTGAAAAGTAATATTCCGTAGTCATAAGATAAATATGAACGGATTTTTACAAGGGCACGCTTTGAACCTCACTGAGCAGAAGCTGTTTTGTTCATAATTACTGCCTGCTAGCACGGTAGGTGTATGGTTTCCTTACAGTGTGTAAGCACACTGCTCTGAGGAGGACCAGAGCTCACCTTCTGAGTGTGCTCAGAACAGGTTTCCTACTGCTTGATAACTTCTCTCAGATGATCTCTTCTGGTGATTACACAACAGACACCTGTAGCTTGGTTTTTTTTTTTCTTCTTTCCACTAAACATATCACACTTATTCCTTTGGATTTGTCATCTTAGAGTTAAGTATCTGTGTTCTGCTTTGAAGGAGCTTAAAATGATTTTTTCCCCAAACATATCGGCGGGAATGGAAACAAGGAAGGTACATATTGGAGTAGAGTGGGCGGGTGGATGCCATTTTGCATTTTATTGAGTGCTTTGTGATTATAAAAATACTAAAATAGTAGTTTTCAAATGTATTTTTTTGAGCAAGTATAACTAAAACCTTACACAGCAGACTTTAACTTTTTGCAGCGTGCCAAAGTGAGAGGTTTAGCTTACAGTCGTGCTTTTCTAAGGAGCAGGCAAGAAGAATTTCATGTAGCGAGCCAGCAGTTAAAGTTGCATTCAATTATACTCAATGAAGCACTATATAAAATGTTGTGGTTCCTCTTCCTTAAGTTTATTGCTTGTGACCAGGCTTAATGGGCAAGCAAGATAACACAGAAAGAAAGAGACATAAAAATTGGTAATATTTTTGTCTGAGTCATAAATGTGCATACACAAAGACATCCACTGACGTTTTTCAAGACTTTCATGTAAGTGATTGTGTTATGAAAGCTGACACGAGGATGTATGCAGTTTAGAGTCTTTCAAGATTAATTATTGGAAGTTAGAGGACAGAAATGTGAATATTAACAAAAAAGCAGGACCAATGATAAACAGAAAAGCTTAATCTTTATCACTTGAAAGAAACTGTGTGTGGGAGATCGTAGCGAGCACTGTAAAGCAGTTTTTTTCCTCTTTTTCTATACTGCATGTATCAGAGCTCTGTGTCTAATAATAGAATATGTGGTTCCCATTACTAGTGACTTAATGAAATACTATCTTCTAGTGAAACATGGCTTGTGTTCCTAATGGTGCCTTTATTGTCAAGCTTGAGTGAGTTTTATACTGTTAATTGTAAAGGTATCCTTTAAATCTAAATCCTGCTCTATTTGGGTAGTGTAATTGTAGATATTGAAATGAATTCCTCTTGATTTGTATTTTACACTTCGGATAATGCGTCGTGGAATTTTTGTAGCGTGTGTCACTTTGAAAGGTTTTATTTTCTTGCATGGGGAACTAGTTGGATTTATAGATCTATTAAGGTGAGCTAGATATATTCTAGTCACGGTGATTTTATTATTCCTCAACTTGAAGTGACCTAGTGAGTTTGAAAGTAGCATAAAACTTGAAGCTGACGTCTTAATATTTGATCTGCTGTGATCATGACCTGTTAACCTTTAGCTTTAATGGCCCTATATAATTCTCCTTAAAGGTTCCAAATGTACTCTACTGTGGGACTGATTGATGATAACATACGCTTTGCGTAATCACCCCTCTAGAATGTGTGTTGTTTCTAGTAGATATTGATCTCCTATATTTGTTATCTTATAGTTGAGAGAGACTTCGCTTTCTGATGTAATGTGGGTTTTGTGCGGATAATATGCTCAGCATCTTGATTAGGAGCTACAGAACATACGGTTCTTGAAAAGGCAACAGCTCATTTCATGATGTAGTACCCATAAACATAAATTTTAGATTGTACTAAGATTACTGTCTTGACCGTAATGACCTCATAACCTCTGGTGGTAAGGAAGAGTCAAAATCCTACGAAATGCAGTGTACAAATATTAGAACTCTTTGAGAACTGTTTCACTTAAGCAAATATTTCTAGAACATATGCACAAAATTATAGTCTTTAATGCAGACTGTCAAACAGTTTCAATACTTTAGGGACTAAAGTTTTGGTTCTCTGATCTCATGCAGCAGTTAAGACAGAAATAAGCTGTGCTACTTTCTTACAAGCGATTTGCTGCATCTAGGTATTTAAAATTGTGAAAAATGCTTTATTTATTAAATAGGAGAAATAAACATTAGGAATATAATATTTACAAGGGAAGTAGTGACCCATGATGCTGTAACTGACGTGAGCCTTTGGTGCGTGCGTGAAGCTTGTTGAAAGGAATTACGTGTATTCTTTAAGTCGCCTTCTGGGGTGTTGGTAAGTGAGCCTGCAAATGGCTTCTGTGCGTGAAGAGATTTGCGCTCTTTCAATCGCAAAATAACAATGAAAAGAGAACACCTTTCTTAAAAGATTAGTTCTATTTGGAAATGAGCTAACTAAATGCGAATGGCTGGATACAAAGGGGTAAGGTAGGATCCGGTATTATGCTGCATGCTGCTTAAAACATGCCTCACTTAGTGAGAGGAATGTTGCAGCACTGAGTGAGTCGTAAAGCATCTTTTAAAAACCTGAAATACTTTAGAAAATGTAATTCACTAGCTGAATTCTGACATCAGTTTTTTAAAGGCTGATTGACTGGAGTTGCAGAGGGTTCCGAAGTACATCCCGTGGAGGGGGTTCCTGGGAGAAGTCAGCAAGGGAGGCTTTTTAAATCTTTACCTTCTCGGGAAAAGAGTCTGTGGCTTTTTAAAGTTTACTTAAGCACCTGAATAATTTCACCTTAAATGCTTTTTTCTTTTCTTCTTTCCCATCAGATTTCCTTTATATCCAAAAGGAGGGGAGAAGCTTCAGTTTGAATATGGAGTATATCTTCTCAACAAAAATATAGCACAGGTTGGTACGCTGAGGGTTTTATTTTTTCTGAGTATCTAAGTTCTGCTTAGTGTCAGTATGGCATGAGTGTGCATCTACTGTCTTGTGATGCTATTCTCTATGGCGAGCATCTGTGAACTAGTGGAGGCATTCTTCAAATCATTGTCTTCGCTTACCTTACTGCTTTGTGTTCAAGACTTTCTCTTGTGGTGCTTGGAGAAGGGCTTGCCAGCTAATAATGCATCTTTTCCTTTTCAAATAAATACTATGAGTCTGTACACACTGTTTTGAAAATTGTAAATGTTTTCTGGTTTTTTTTATTCTGTCATACTTGAAGATCCATGTGTGTCATTCTCATTGCTGCTTTAATTTTGCTGTATTATTACTTTAGTATTCAACTCTTACGATAAGAAAACACAACAAGCTGGAAAACCTTAAGTCTTGCCAATGCATGACTTGTTTGGGGTTTTTGTTTTGTTTTGTTTTTAAATATAAAGTTCACAAACTTGTATTTGAGATGATACTAATACCTGCTGCTAACTCATTTGGTATGGAATTCAGAAAATGTTCAAAAAGCTGGTCTGAAAGGGACCTGGGGGGGCCATTTAGACTGTTGCCTAGTCCTAGGGCAGGGTCAGCTGCTCTTACACCAGCCCTGGTAGACATTTGTATAACTTTCCCTGAAGGAAAGCCTGTGATCTAAGTAGTCTCTTCCAGTGATTGGCTGTCCTGGCCATTAAAGTCTTTTCTGGCATCTAATCCAAATCTGTCTTGCTTCTGTTTAACCGCATAATCACTTACTGTAATAATCTGTTCATTTAATTCTCTTCCTCTTTGCAAACTTTTATGCATTGAAAGGCAACTTCTCCTTTCTCAAGTGTAATCTCATGGGTCAAGTCTCTTAATTTCTGAGCATTCTTATTGTCTCCTATTCTCCATCTGAATCCACATCTTTCTTGAAGTGCAGTGCCCAAAGCTGGATACACTATGCAGCTATTGCCTTCAAAACAGTGAGAAGGATGGGAGAAATGCTTCACAGGTCTTGCAATTTTTGTTCAGTTCATTATGTTCCAATAGGTTTGTACTCTTAACAGCCTAACACGGTGAATTTCATGATTCAGTGCAACCTGCAGCCTCAAGTCTCTTCTGCACAGCAACAAAACAGTCCATTCTGAATTTGTGCAGGTGACTCATTTAATTCAAGGTACAGCATGTAAAACGTGAATGTACCTTAGATGCCTCTTTTTCTTCTTAATCGTGTCTCTGATTTGGTGACGTAACTCTAGAAGATGGGGAAAGGTAGGTTGAGAACTCAATCTCAGCTTTGTGCTATCTGCATCTGAGCCTATTCTCTATCCAGCTCACCTAATTAAAATATTGAATAGAACTGGGGTAAAGCCTAAACCCACGTGGAGCCCTGCTTCACTAGCACTTCCATTTACAGCAGTGAACCATTGTTTACACCCAAAGAGTACTTACTTGCTCTGTATTCATTCCTACTTCATCAATAGCCCATTTCCCCAGCATGCTTGCGAGCATATCACACCATAAAGTGCCAAAAGATTTATTTAAATTCCAACAGAAATATGATGTTTCAGTTTCTAACCTGTTTGTAAGGCTTGAAATTAGATTGGTCTGACAGTTTTCTTCTTGAAAAATCTGATCTTTTTTTTATGCTGAGTTTCTAGTTGTTTGGTTTGTTTTTCCAGTTCTCTCTTCCACCACTTTCTCCCCACTCTCTACCCCAAATTGAAGTAAAGCTTCTGGGTCTTTTTGCGTTGTTTGTTTTTTAAGCTTGGATTGCATTTACCATTTTCCAGACTTCTGGTATCTTGCCCGTGCTTAGTGTATTTTGGAAGATAACCTCCAATGGCTCTGAAATTACTTAAAGGCTAAAATATCTTAAGATGAAGTTAATCAAGCCCTGCTAATCTTGGAAATTCACTTAACCAAGCTGTTAATATAACTTAGACTGTGACTCTTTGTTGCTGGTATTAATAATGGCAGCCAGCTGTTCACACCTGACTTTCATAGGGAAGACTAGTGAGAAAAAGGGATTAAATACTCTTTCCTTCAAATGCTTTGATAGCTTTCTCTCTCCATTACTATCAAATCAATGCTTTCCTTAATCTCTACTTATGTAAATACATTAGTTCATTCTGTAACTTGTGAGTCACGATGCTGCTTGCTTTCCTTTTCAGCCTTTCATGTTTGTCGTCCCCCCCCCCCCCCCCCCCCCCCCTGGAGTTTGCTCCCCCCATTGGAGTTTGCCATTCAGTTATGTGATGCAAGTGCTCTGTGCTTCTTTCTTGACTGAAATTATGAACTCTTCCTTGAGCCCAAGTTGGTAGTCTTCCCATTTCCTGTAGTCTGGGTTAGTTGGCACTTGTGCCTGTAGTATCTTTTTTTATAGGAGCTGTCACCACTTCACTTGTTTTCCTGTTTTTCCCTTAGACGTGTCTCCTCTGAGATGTTACCACTGTTGAACCTACTGAAATCTCTCGTTCTTTGTTCTTGTCCTATTTCTAAAGGACTGTGAACAGTTGAACACATGGTCACTCACCCATGTTGCCTTCCAAGTCCTTGCAGTTGGTTTCTGAAATCCCTGGCATGTGTTTAAACTCATAAAAGTAAATGAAGACTTTAAGTATGTATTTGTGTAAAAAAAAAGTTTCCAAATTTACATGAGGTCACTGGTGTTGGTACAAGCTAGAGTAGTCAGTGGCCAAACTTTGAAGTGGTTTGTGCAACACCAGTGGTTCACATGTTAATGCTTGAGATTGTATGCTGTTGAATATAAAAACATAATAAAAGTAAATTGGAATTTTTTGGGGGCTTCTACTACTTATTTAATCAGGAAAGTGTTACTGAAGTCTGTATAAACTGTTGTAGTCACCTTTTGTTTTGGTATCCTTGGTCAAATATAGCGGCTCTTTATAGTTCTGCCAAGGGGAAATTCCATTGTGAAAGCAGTGTGAAAGCAGAACAGGTAGATTACATGTAGAAATACATCACAAAACATCTGTACTCAGGGGCTGACTTGATCTAGAAACCTGAGATTGTTTGAATCCCTTGTGTGTTCCATTGGAGGCTGGAACTGTTGAATTTAAGTAGCTTTTAGAAGATCTTACGGCTTCTTTGAGAGAAGCTTCCAGATATGCTTAGTTTATGTGAATGTGTAAAAATAATTAAGTTTGGATGGAGAGTAAGCAGCTGCCTCCTATTTCTAGACCATCGCAACCTGTGAGGGAATCCTTTTAAGGCCCAAAGGTGTTGGCCTTAATTCAAGGAACCAGGCCTCCAAATTATTCTGTTGTGAATAAATGCTTAATACCCTCTGGCTGCTGTGGGAAGATGGGAGGTGTCTAGGAGGAACAGTGCTGACTCTACTGGAGCATTGAGAGAACGCTCAACGCTTGGGTCTCCCATCACCTTAATTGAATCATTCGTGCAAGTCTTGATCACTGTGGGTGAGAAGCAAAGAGCCCAGAAAAACTTGTATCAACTTAAAGAAATACTTGAAAGGATGTTTATAAGCTTCCCTGGTTTCACAGATGTATTTTCTTTTTTTCCTTTCACAATTACCTGGAGTTCTGGTGGCAAGGAGAAACGTGAGTGGGGAAGAATTGAGACTGGGTTGATATTAAGTAAAATTACTGAAATAAAAACTCTTCTAGGGATAAAGTGGTACTGTTTTGTAAAACAGCAGGATAACAACGATGAAAACCACATCTTGCACTCGGGAGAATTCAGCTGGAATTAGAAGCAGCTCAGTGCTAGCTTGGTAGAGCATTTATTTGGAGAAACTTGCTTTGCTGTTACATTCCGAAGTCAAAACAATGTGTGTTAATTCCGAGAGTTCATAATAACTTCCATCTGTACTTGAGCACAAATTGTTTCAATCCCCATATTTTCTGTTTGTAAAATTGAATCCCTCACGAAGTTCACAGAGTAGCTTTTTATGTTGGATAATATTAGGTAAGACTATAAATTTCCAGTTAAGTTTTCAGCTCTTTGACTCTAATGAGCATACAGATACGTTATTTTTTTCAAAGGGAAATTAGTGACTTATGTCTAATAATATCAACCAAAAAAAAAATAATCACTGTCATTCCATAGCACTGTCAAAGGTGAAGCACAGTACAGTTGCTAAAAATGGAGTGAAGTGCTCAGCTCAGCTCTCAAAAGCGTTAGGCACTGGGAGATCATTCAGTAGGTAACTGGCCCCACAAACTCTGCAGCTCCTAAGTTATGGATGTGTGTGGAATATCTGAGGGAGGCGAGGGTGTAGCAGGAAAATGAAATGAACTCTTGCGTTGGTTCTCACAGTAGCGGAGTTGAGATTACACCGTGAAAACCTCCTGTTATAGCGGATGAATATTAGGAACTCACGGAAGCGTTGTGAGGGTTTTTGTGGGCGATAACGCGCAGCACGGGCAGGCTAGCATCTCTGAGTTCTCATCCCTCTGAACATAATGCATGTGGCACACAGCTCAGCTAGGGCATAGACGTGGTCCATGCTAAGCTGAGCTCTCGCCAGTCCTTGAGCAGTGGTCTTGGCGCTCCAGGTTTTTTCCTCTTAGCTCTTTAAAATTATTTTTTTTTAACCTGGGGGGGGTGGGGGGTGTGTGTGTGAGAACGCAGTGGCTTTGAGTTTCAAATCTTAGGCCTGTAGAAAGAAAGAAGCTTTATTGCTGCTTTACTGGCTGTTTTTGCTATCTCTTTCCTTCATTCCCAGAGCCTTGGTTGCTTGGGCTTGACTTTAGTGTATGTTCTTCATTACATATGAAGAGATGATCTTATTTTAGTGACCATCCTTCTTGAGGTGAGTCCTTAGTGAGCACGCACGGTGTCACTACTAGAGAATACCTGGCCCAAAGTTGTCTACAAGATGATATTACAAGGTTTCTTTCCTGCATTGGTCGTTATTTCTAACCCATGCATATATGATGTGTAGCCATTGAAGAGAGCGTGACCATCTTGTTCATTAAACTCCCAATTCCTTTAGGTATTGAAGAGGT